AGTTTCTTTTTAATGTCAAGTATTAAGTAGGGTTGTTCACCTATCCATTTATTAAGGGAAATTTTCGTTATGAGCACAGAAATATTAAAAAGTTCTTCTTCACTTTTTTATTATATCTATGGTTATGAGTCTATCATTTTATAAATTAACGTCATATAAGAAAAACTACAGAGCATTCACTTTCACAGCTCTTGTACACTTATTTGGTTTCCTCTTGTAATGTCGTATGCAAACGTATCTATGCATTATAAACTGTGATATCCTCGAACAAATTAAATAAATGTTTCTAGGTCATTCTAGGTAGATACATTTTATAAGACAAAATGTCCTTCGCGTCTGTCTGAACGCGATAAACACAAAATATACCAAACGTTTTTCTTTACATTTACACTAAGAGAAAGAGTAATTCATGAGCAAGGTTTTTAGTGTATAATTTATAAGGGTTTTCTGTATATTGAACCTGACTATAAAGCCGAGTTGGCTCTCTAGAATATAAAGGATCTTGACTATATATAAAGGTGCTAAGAACTATGTAGTAAGTACCTACAGTTCATTAGGTAAATGAGAGGAAAACCCGTCCACTTTGCATAATCCTTCGTTCACATTGACCTACAAAGTACTTACCTACTTCATCAATCCTTTGGGAATATAAATGTCGTAATTGAAAATCGTTAAAAGGTAAATTCGTGACAGTGTTGCCATGCACCAAGGTCAGTCTCCGTTACCTTTTAACTTCGTTGTTAAATAAATAATCACAAAAATGTATGGACATTATGAAATTACAATGTCAGTTTTTATAGAGACAGCTGAAGACATTTTTGTGTTGACTTAGAGCCTCGTTGGTAAATAATTAATGGTGATTATTGACTTATCAAGCAAGAGGTCTGAATTTTTTATTGTTTTAATAGAATTTAATTTCTAATTTTCTTTTCACAGTATCGTAAATGTTTATTTTAAACAGACCGTCTTACTTCCGCCTTTGTATGCCACTGCATAAACAATAAATATGATAAAAGACATTATCCGATGTGTCGATATATTATCCTATATCATCCCACGCGTATACTATATATTTGTTTTCTATCCCATTATTTATTTGTGTGCTCTCACTTCGCAGAACATTATATTCATTCAATAGATAAAAATATGTGACTTTTCCTCAATAACTTGTTTTGAAAGTGACAACATTATCCATCACACTATAAGGTATTTGTAACTTTTCTCAGTTAAGGCAACAAAACTTCTGATCGGATATATGTGCCTTTTCATATGTCCTTCTTATGTCATGGAGAACAAAGAACATATAGAACTATCAAGTACTTTCTAACTATTTAAATGTGAATCTAAACTAGTTAAATGATTTCGATTAGATTCAAGTTACACCGAAGCTCGTAGTCAAGTTATTAGATATGAAGATAATAAAATAAAAATTAGTTAAGTACAAAGAGACCTACCTAAAAAAAATAGTCATAAATAATAATATAACAATATGAAAAAACCACAAAACAAAGTAATAGATATTCTCCAGACAATAGTAGGCGTATATAATGTTACACTAAGAGATAATTACATTTGTATATATTTTATTAATAAATAAGAAAGCTTTGATGTAAGTTCGACGTGAGGTCTATGAAAGAATCAGGACGGATCAACTTCTTCGAGTTAATCTAAGTTATAAGAAAGTTACGCTTTAGGCCCTTAATATAATTATTATTGGTGAGGATTTCTCAAACTTTGTCAATGTAAAGTATGAACTGAAATATGTTATGAAGATTTTGTTGCTTTGATCTCGACGTAATACATAATTTACGTTCATCATATAGGTTTAATTGATCAAATTTCCTAATTTAGAGGTATAAGATGATATTATCTAATCTAATTTAATAAAAGACAATTTTTATTTATTTGTGTGTATAACGACTTGTACCTAGTTTCATTAATTGATCTTAGGTACCATATAATATGGAGCATCCCTTTAAGTTGAGATATGGAACCGCAATATAAAAGAAGTTCTTAAAGCTGATAGGCTTAAGCTTTAAAATACATACCCATCCTATGGAAGAGATCTTGACAGAGGTCAAGTGCAGAGTACTCTTCGAACAAGTATGTATAAAAATGAAGGAAACGTGTACTTAAAAGATCGTAACAGACAAAGGCGTGAGTACTTATAATATCTTTATACTAAACAGAGAGAGATTCGGAAATCACTTAGCAACAAAAACCCATAATCTATAGACACAAAAACATGTAATCTTCCCAATCTCCCACCTATTTCGACAATTCGATATAAAAAACTAAGTTATCTTTTCGATTGTGCCACTCATTCATACAGATGTCAAGTAAAGTGATTGATAATTCAATAAAAAGAATCACGTGAAGCTTCCGAACATTTCATGATATTTTCAGACGAGTGATAAATTATTTATGGTTTATCTTGAATGTTGATATACACGTATAGTGAGACTGCTGAACACGAGATCCTGGGTTAGATCGACGAATCAAATAAAGCATTAAGCCAAGGATTAATTAGGGCACAAATGTCGTGCAACACTTGTCACCACGAGCAGACGGATCACCTGATGGTAAGCAATCGGCGTTGCCCATGGACACCTGGAACACCAGAGGCGTTACAAGTGTGTTACCGGCTTTTTGGGGATTAGGAGTTTGAGGATCGTTGGGGATTCAGGGATTGGGGAGATTGGGGAAGGGGAGGGTAATTGGGCCTCCGGTAACCTCACTCACACGACGAAACACAACGCAAGCGTTGATTCACGTCGGTTTTCTGTGAGGCTGTGGTATCACTCCGGTCGAGCCGGCCCATTCGTGCCGAAGCATGGCTCTCCCACACTTAAACGTTGTCGGACTATGGTCCACATGTCTGGCAACATCAACGTCGATGTGGACCCGAGTCGCGCGACGTTGCCAGTCATTTGTCCCCTAGTGTATCCTTGGCAAATAGTTAAGTCGATTCAGTCTTTTAATTATTTCTAAACTATCTCCATTTCATTCTAATTCATTCTAACAAAGACTTAACAGACCTAGACTCTAAAATAGAATCTGAAACTTTATGTACACTGTCATAACGTAGAAAGCAATATTTTGTTCTTGTAAATAACATTTCCACATTCGTTGCCGAGCAGAGCTTATTCAAAAACTGAGACATGAACACATGAAGTTTCCTTGAATAATTTAGGTTTAAATTGGAACTGCTAGCTTTGTAAGCTACGTGAAAACTCATTTCCTCGAACCTTTTCTTTAGAAGCAAAAACATGAACAGCTGATCCCTCTTTAAATTTAGCATACGAATAAAATGTTTTGCACGATCTTTTTCTATTTATATACTGTGGCGTTTCGACGACAACATAGTACCACTAATCCGCAGTCTCAAATACATTTGGCATTCAGATTTGAAAATACTTTCGTTACATGGATTTAAATGAATTTATTAATTATAAGTCTTGAATTGTTTGTTATGTTTCAAAATTACAGAACCAGTGGTGATGAATTTAACTCCAAACTGTAACTGTAAACTACTTTTTATCGTAATCGAATCTGTCAGTTTACATTATTTCTAAATAACTCTCAAGACGTGATTAAGTTACGAGCCTTTTTCCACGAAATATTCATAAACCTACTGTTATGTAGGTTAATTTACAGTATCTCCGACTGATCCCTCTGGATGGTCAATTATGATCCTGAGAGTCGTATCTGATCGTAAAATATTACTTCTTAACGTAAAATACAAAATTAAGTATCATTCGTAGCACTCTTAAAAGACGCCTCAAGCAAAAAGGTCGCATTTGCGAAGTCTATTACGAAGTTAAGTCAATTTCATTATACGAATATTATAGCTGATATCTTTACGCTATTTTTGTATAGCCTAGGGTAGCAACCCATTTTATTTTCCCTGCATTAACCTTTCTCGAATGTCTATTGTGGAATCTGTCTCGCACGGTCTAAAAAACCTAAATCACATCATTATTCAAGTAAGGCACGAATTTTATTTGACAGACGTGATAAGTAAGGGCTTCGGATTGTTGAGAATTGTGAACAAATTTAAGTGTGGTAGGCACTTACATTACGTATAATGAAACTGAATTTATTACGGTGCAAGTTGCTTTTACAAACATAAAAGTTTCTTTGTTAAAGCTAAAAACTATGCTTCATTAATTTGTAAATGTAGACAAGCGGCAACTGCAAACTAAACATCATTTAGCGTAACAAAAGACAAAGCAGTCAGAAAAGAATTTTATAGTAAACCCATTTTTCGCTAGTTATTTCAAAGAATGATAGACAATAGACATATTACGAATACGGTTCTTAACTGAAAGCCTTCAACTTGACAACGCTTTGATGTTCTCTTTCAACCTAGGACTACAAACAAAAGTTTGGCGGACAAGACAGTGGGCATCAAACAACTTGATGAACATTTTTAATCTAAGCGCTGTCAACCATTTGTGAAGAAAGCCCACGGCCGAGCTCTTTAATTTCTCTTATCGTTGTAAAGAATTTTTCTCTCATGTCATTGAATGGCAAGGGAAGCCTCTTTGACGTCGTCTCTCGTTCCATTGTCTCCGTGTTCCTTTGTTTAGTGGTTGCGTATTCTCCCATTTCCATACTCCATCGATATTGTACCTGCATGTGCCTATCATGTTAACCTACTTTGTTATAAAATTGTGACGTTATTGTCCAGAGTTGAAAGATACGCGATCGTTGACAGAGATGGGTTATTAAGGGTTTATATTTGTTGGACTTTGAGACAAGTTTGAGTCTGATAGGTACAGGACAAAGCTGTTGATATAATGGCACTATATACTTAAAGTTATGTAAGAAAATATTTCTCTCAGTGTGTATCTAGTATAATTTTATTAGAATTATTGCTGACTACAAAATTAACTTTTGTTTTTCTTTCGTGAAGTTTGTTATACTTTTAGTCTGGAAAAGTTTTTGTTGATCATAAAACAAACGATGATTTATCATGAGTTAATTTCTTTTTTCAGCCGATGGCATGACCTATTCGTTCGGCGTATTCTATGCAGAGTTCCTGACCTACTTCGATGAGGGCAAAGGAAAAACCGCGTGGATCGTATCTATCCTCGTAGGCGTCACTCTAAGTTCGGGTAAGCAATCAATTTAATACACAGTAATTCTGGCTTTGAGCATTCACCACGGGCGAAATAATGATCCTATCAACTATGTGCTTATACGTCGGGACCCAAGAGAACTCGACCCAAATGAAATATGTAATGTATAGTATACAATCCTAAGTATCTGTGGACTACGCTGTTTCATTTGGTAAATTAACTTCTCTCACACAAAGGGGTTTACTCTATAGAGTCATTAAAGAGAGACGAGCTGACTGATACCAGTGGCAGAGTGTAATTAGCTGACTCTAAAAGGAGATGCCTTTTTACAAGCTTATATTTAACGTTTGATAAAATTAATAGATTAATGTAAATAATGTAAATTCCCACAAATAATGATGAATTCGCAGAAAAATTGGGCATGTATGTAATATTTAAAACAAATGAATCATTTTGCAATTATTCATCTTGCTGATACAGTTTGAACTCTGATCCTCGCAGCATGTGCCAGATAAAAACAGTTTGATAAGAAACACTGCGTTTATTAGTATTTAAAAAATCTGGGCTATAGTCTATAACACATTTTAGTCTAATATCAATAAACTTAAACTATTTCAGGGCCCATATCAAGTTCGTTCGTGAACCGGTGGGGATGTCGCGCGGTGACGGTGGCAGGCGCATTGCTTGCCTCCACCTGTGTCGTCCTCTCGGCCTTCGCGAACAACGTGCTCACGCTCATCTTCACGATCGGGGTCGGCACAGGGTTCGGCTTCGGTCTTATCTATCTTCCCGCTATAGTCAGTGTAACAGTATGGTTCGAACGCTACAGAAGTCTTGCTACTGGTAAGCCGTTTAAATCTTAAAAATAAATGTAAACAATTTTATTCTTCCTGAAAACTGATAATCTAAATCATGATTTTTATTTCCAGGTATCGCGGTTTGTGGTTCCGGACTAGGAACATTTTTATTCGCACCAATCACATCGGCTTTAATAGAAAACTATGGGTGGCGCGGTGCTATGGCTATCATCGGTGCCTTAATACTGAATTGTGTGCCATTAGGCCTTATATTTAAACCTGTTCCTGAACCCCCAAGAACTCCAGCATCGGAACCTATGCTACCCAAACAACCAAAGTCTCCACTAAAAAGATCTCAGAGTACAGAGCACGTCCTTAGAGCAAATGGAAAAGTCGATGACAATGATATTGCGAGGTTAACTTTATCCCAACCTGCTCTGAATAAACCACATGAACAGAAACCTCCGCCCTCGCGGCACGGTAGTGGTATCATGCAAAGGCCGGACGTTCTATATCAAGGCAGTATGACAAGTCTAGCCAGGTTTAGATCAACGTCTCCTGAAAGAACAATCACTAGTGTTACGAAAGAAGAACCAGAAGTGAAATGTGGATGGTTGCCTTGCTCAACAGAATTTAAAGCAGCACTCGGAGAAATGCTCGATGTATCGCTCCTCGTAGATCCAATATTTATTTTATTCGCCGTATCTAACTTTTTAACAAGCATCGGTTTTTACATACCGTATGTTTACACTGTACCAATGAGCGAAGCGCTTGGAGTTGAGAATCCACCATACCTGATTTCCATAATCGGGGGATCTAACTTGGTGGGCAGAATAATTCTCGGTTACATAAGTGATAAGCCGTGGGTAAACCGCTTACTGGCTTATAATTTGTGCCTTACAATTGCAGGAATTGGTACGTGTACTGAATTGGTTTTCTTTAACAAATTTGGCAGAATTTATGAATACGAACGAATTTTGAACATTATATTTTTGCAGGTACGGCAATGGCCATGGCGTGCTGGGAGTTTTGGGGTCTTGCTTTATATGCTACGACGTTTGGCTTCACCATCGGTGCATACGTAGGACTGACATCAGTTGTGCTTGTGGACCTACTAGGGATCGAGAAACTGACAAACGCATTTGGTCTTCTCCTCTTATTCCAAGGAATTGCTTCCTTAATTGGACCACCATTTGCAGGTAATTCTCACCAAATGGTTGCTTTGAAATAATTACAAGATTTCATTGATTTCTTCAGCAGATTATTTTATTGCTTTTGTATTTTACAGGGTGGCTGTTTGATACGCTACATTCGTACGCGCCGGGCTTTTACGTGGCCGGTGGTACAATATCACTGAGTGGGCTGATATTGTTCTTTATCCCGGTGATCGAGAGGCGCCAGCAGAGGCGGTGGGAGGAGAGCACGGCACTGGAGCAGATATAGCAGGACGCGGCGGTGCGCTCGCGCGCCTGCCCGGCCATCGTGCTGTGCAGCCCCTCCACGCGCAGCGCAAGCTCGGCCTGCGCCTGCTCTTCCAGCTCCTCCTACACCAACAGGGTATACAACACTACAATAATAGGTGACAAAAATAATTATTATGTAAATGATGAAGATTGTGACTTTGTAAATATCGATGCGATGGATGAATGCGACGAACGTTTCGATATCGACTATCGAACCCATTCCAGAGGAAGTGTTGTGTGCGTGCGTGATCTGTGAATACATAGTTTATAAGAAAAAAAGGTGCAATATAAATGTTTAATTTCATCTTTGTATCAATTTGTTTCATTGAAACTTATAATATTTAAAGTGCCGCTATGATACGTTTCCTATGAACTGCAACCGATCGATTTAACTAGCTGTAAGTAGTAATGTGTATAATCTAAATATATCTATGTATAATACACAATTAATCTTATTGTATAGATAGGAATACTGTAAAATGTTGATAGTAGACCGAATTTTCTTGGAGAAATGTATAAAATTAAATTTGGCTGTTATTTGGCACTATCAATGAATTGAAGTACACAAGTGAATAGTTTCTTGAGATAAATATTGACTAGTCTGTGCTGTACTGTGTGCGTGCAATCTTAGTCCATAATACATGGCCTTACTGTGGACCAATCGTGGGTAGGATGTGATGTCATCAGAAGTACCTAGTAAAGGCATATTGTGCTTTTTGCAAGTTTAGAAGTAATCGATCAACTAATATTTCAGCCATTTCATTCACTTCTTGGGCAACTGTTATTTTCTTTTTAAGTAGGAATTATTTCCACGTTGTGTTCAGTAGCATAATTTTTCAGTTAGGACTAGGTTGGATTCATAATCTTCCTTCACTAAAGTATACAAGTAATGTACATTTCGACTGAATTAGGTATCTAACCATACAATGTATCATACTTATGTACTGTGTAACTGGACTGCGCTGATATTCTTCGTACAAATCTTTTCACTTTGTATTGTATTGTTGGCAATCTTGTAATCGTATTTAATACGGTTCCACGCATTATTTAATGTTACTATTATATTATGTATACTATACATAAATATCTAAAATTATAATATATTTAAACTGTCTGGACGTTTGTTTTTAATCCTGTACCCCTTCTTCATCATCATCATCAACAACAGCTTTTAAGGGGCCACTGGTGACCAAAGGCCTATTCTCGCACGGAGAAGGTTTGAACATTAATCACCACGCTTGCTTCAATGCGGGTTGGCAATTTCAAACTTATAATTAGAAATTAAACATCGTGAGTAGGGATGTTTTCCTTCACCGTTTGTGAGTGGGCTAGATAAAACTCAATAAAACTCAGATTGATATTTGCCGTTGGTAGGTTTCGAACCCGCACTCTCATGCATGAGAAGCGGGCGTCTTATACCTCCTGGCCATCACAACCTTTACGTATTTACTGTACCCCTTACTTCCTAGAAATGTACCTAAAATCTCTTTCATATACGGTTATATTTTCATCATAACAATAAATAATACCGTATGTCAAATATTAATATCCTGATGAAGAAAAATATCAAACAGATATTCTTAAACTAATCTTACATTAATGGCTTCTATAATTGCTATTTAGCAATCTAGTGCACGATCACTTGTGTTTACAATCACGCAAAGCCTCAGTAAATGAATAACTGAATAAGTACCTACTAGTAGGTTATGTATTATAAATCAAGGAAATCAAGTGTAATTGTTACAAGAGTCACATGCAATAAAACCTTCGCCGGTGTACATTAATTATTAATTCCTATGGAAATGAATGTTCCATGCATTTTACACTTAAGTAGGTATGTGGGTATAAAACTATGAATATACCACTATGTATGTTACACATATTATTTACGATATTTTACAAAAATCGAACGAAAAAGTGGCAGTCATTTGAAAAAAAATTGCCTTATAAATAAATAATTACGTCTCTTACTCATGCTTTTTAATCTATCATTGTAGACTTACATATACTCGTATATTTATACTTCTCAAATAATTATAATGTTACCCAAATACCTATATTACACATTTTTGGAAACGATTGTCAATACTTTTTTTTAAGGGGGAAAATCATCGAATGACTGCTCCCGCCTGGGTGAGGCGGGAGGGACTGTCAGACTCTTGATGACTAAAAACCACCCCTTTCCTACTCCTGCACTTCGAGCCGGAGCCTCGGCTACCCGTTAAGTCTTCCGCGGCTCCGTATCGGCATCAGCCCTATTGGGCCCCATTCGATTGTCAATACTTAAATAATTATATCTACTTCTACCTAAATGCAGACATCTGATGGCATACAAAAGAAAATGCCAATAATAATCAACACTACATTACAATTACTGTTTAGTTTCTTTTGTTATCATTATCAACTCCATAATCTTGCAAGTGAAACATCTTGTTGCGCACACGATCATCAACCAGCAACAGTGCTATAGCTGTCAGCGCAGGCGCAATCTGAAATACAATGTAAGTACAGTATGACTTCTCATATAATTTACACAAAATCAATATAAAATAACAAGTATATAGTCATCAGTAAAATAAGCCGAGACCAAAAATAAGCATGGACTACTTCAGCTGTGGACCAGAGATATTCTAATTTCTATGACTTTCTATGATTTGTCATTAGCTAAATTATCTATGAGTTCGTATCGCGGGCGTAGCAAGTGAGCCTTTAGCCAAAAACAGAGCAAAGTTGAAGACTAGTAACTGATGAGAAATTCGAAACTAAAATACTTTTCACGGTAACTTCTAGCTTCATAACCATGACCACTTACTCATAGAAAAAAATTCACACATTTCTAATGTCAAAAAAAACAATATTAATATTGTAAAGCTGAACCCAAAAACAGATGTCAATATTTGCAAATACAACAAAACAAAAGAAAACGTATGTTTGTGTACACATTTAACATAGCATATATACATAGGTATCTACATGTGTACATACAAATAGAAATTCAAAATCTCCTCGGTTGCCCCGGCCTTTCCAACTGTGCCATGTTGGGGGCGTAACCGGGTTTACCCGGGTTTTGTTCATATTATACTGAAGCGGTTCACCCGCACCCCAGTTCGAGCATGAACATGTGTCAACAACTTGCTGAAAGGGTGAAAGGGATTGACAATCGACAAGTGACTGCGGTATTGACATATGTAGGTACGTATGTATTTTCCTTTGGGCATTGTTTATGAAAATACTTTTATGTCGATGTTAATGTTGATATTTATTTCTTAGGTTTTAGACTTTAGAGGAAGTTTTAAGGTCATACATACATAATATTTCTCGCAATATTTGCAATTTCAAATCAATCATAAGTACCTATTATACTTATTGATAAATTTCGTTCAAGATCCCTTAAACTGTCAAACACCGCGAGGACACCGGTGCCCGCACACCTATTGTTCTTTAATTGTGTCTATAATGACGGTACTCAAAGGGTTAATATCATTATTAGTTCTTCTTTTAATTACCTACACCTGCTAACTACTATCATTAATGAACAATCGAAGATACTGAGATAATGAATGCAATGTGTAATGGCACTTTTGTAATTAAGAGTGCAGTCATAAGACTCGATCTTAATGTAACACGTGCATTCATCATTGCCTATCAAACAGTTTAACACAACGATAGCAATTTATTTGGCAGCCTCCATTTTCATCTGAGTCACAGATGAATTGGCGTCTTGTGAGTTGTAGTTGTTACGTCACACTTCATAATGATTACACAACATTAATTTAATAAGTACGTTTGTACATACTATTTAAAGCTTCATTAACGAGGTGCGAGTGACGCCAGGTCGTAATTATAGGTTGAAAGATGAAGTTCGATGCTCGAATCGAAAGGTGTTGATGAATTTAATTTAACAACATGTTACATTGCCCGCCTGGGTGAGGCGGAAGGGAGTGTCAGACTCTTACTGACTAAAAACCACCCCGTTCCTTCTCCTGCACGTCTAGCTGGAGCCGCGGGTACTCCGTTAGGTTCTCCGCGACTCCGATCCGGCATCAGCCCTATTGGGCCCCATCCGTGGTGGTCTGATGGCTCTTAAGATATAGAGCCGTGTACGTAGTTTTAATGTTGTACCATAATTTTGAAGTTAAAACGTCCAATGCGTTTGTCTGCCTCTGCCTAGATTAAAGATAAGATTTAATAAGCCAGAACTCACCCAATGTATCCACAAGGCCCATGTTATGTAAACTGTGGACGGTACACGCGGTACATCCATGTGCATAAAGAAAGATGACACCACGTATCCCCTAATCACTGCTATTGGTGTCCAGCACAATAGATTCACAATTGTTATTACTATAACACTCTGAAATTAAAACAAAATGTAATTCGCAAATGAGACTTACATATAAACCGTCACTAATAAAATTCGAACAATTAAACTATTCACGAAGAAAAATCGTTTTTTTTTTTCATTTTTAAATCGATTTTTTACAAGAATTATTAGGTACAAAAGGTCACAGTTATATCAAGGAAATATATCAATTTGTCCATGGAAAGCGCTGATCAAGAGATAAAAAATTTACAAACAAGTCGTAACGATGTTTCATAAAACTGTTTCCAATTTCACTTATACTCATACAACCAGATATGAAAGCTAATAAATATCGTGGTGGCCCGGAGATTTAAGACGCCCGCCCGCTTCTTATGCATGAGGGTACGGGTTCGAAAACTACCAATGGCAAGTACCAAAGTGACTTTTTCCGAGTTATATGTACTTTCTAACATTATCTAGACACCACGGCCAAACGGTGAAGGAAATCATCGTGAGGAAACCTGGACTTATAATTTCTAATAATAAGTTTTTAATTGCCAACCCGAATTGAGCAAGCGTGGTGATAAATGCTCAAACCTCTTCCGTGTGATAAGAGGCTTTGCTCAACAGTGGAATTTATAGGCCGTTGATGATGATAAAAACTAAAAAAAACCTTAATACTCACTCGAGTGAAATGTTGATTCCTCACACAGCACGGAAACTTTTTCTCCAACACTCGAGCCCATACAAGCATCATCGCCCTGAAACTTTTAACTTTTATTAAACTGTCAAACACCATCGGTCACCGGTGACCGCAACCTATTGTTCTTTAATTGTGTCTATAAATACGGTACTCGACGAGTTAATTCAGGTGGAGATCTTATTGTGGTTTGTTTAGTAGAAAAAAATATTTTCTTCAACAACATCAGTTCTGAAAATTAGTATAATTCTACTAATTACCATTCTGAATCAAACCTATCTTCTCCCAAGTGCTTATTGTAATTCAATAGACGTGCCTAATTTGCAGCCTCTCCAATTTAATTAGATTTACACAAGGCAGCTCGGTGCCAAAGCAAATTAGATCACTAATTTATTGTTAACAACATTAATGTGCTTGTATTGAATAGCAATTAGTATCTTCTATAAGGGCTATATTTCATCGCGGCACCATGGCGGATAACTACCATATGGGCTGTACTGGCGGCTGAATATCACGCCATACGGCGCTATAGTAATTGGTGGTGGCGCGACCAGCATTGTACCATCCGAGCTGGTCGTGCCGCCAGGTTAATTGCGCAACTAAGTGGACACCAGATGAGTAAAGCTCTATAGAACTTCGTAATTTTATTAGTGAAATATAGCCCTTATATAATATACTAATTGCTATTCAATAAAAGTATGTACATACATTAATTTTGTCAACAATAAATTAATGATCAAACCTTCTCCGTGTGAGAAGAGGCTTTGCTCAGCAGTGAGCATTTATAGGCTGTTGATGATGATGATGAAATTAATGATCTAATTTGCTTTTTACTTACATAACGATCGCTGGTTTGACGCTACGAAGGAAGAAAATGGTGACGATGGAATATCTCTGCCAAGTCTCTGGTAGTACCATGTCGAAGGTGAATGATGTACAATCCAAATCATGTCCATACTTTCCAAAACCAAACAGCGGCGGTATAGAGTACAGACAAGAAAAGAACAAGCAAAGACAAGTGAACAAGTAGTAATGTTTCTTTTGTATCTGCCAACCTTGAAAACGAAAAACATAAAGTAAATATTGTTTACTACAACAGTAAAGAAACAATAAAACAAAACAAAGGCATACTCACCATTAGCGATGTATTTTGAAACAACGTATCTTTCAATGCAGACGTGTGTCAGGCATTCGACCTCGAACACTGCCAAAAACGTCTCCACGAAAGCAAAAATTTCACAAGAGAATATTTGAAATCCGTATAAACTGTAATATGAATACAATAGACGGTACATTTCAAATTACAATAACTCTAACTAAAATAAAACACGTCGTACTTAACTACACAACACTACACTCGAGATGTGTATAGGTAACTCAAAATTCACTATATCTAACTGATTACAAACAAAGCAACAATATAAATATATAAAAGTTGTTTACTACATCCAATTAATTAGCTTCAGACTAATTTCCATATTAACTACAAAAGGGTCCGGGACCTTCATATTGCAAATACATAGTAGAGAGAAGGAATAAATGAATAAACAAAAGTACTTTCGATGCAAATGTATTGTTCTCTTCCAACTCACGTCTCGATGTAGTTGACAAACGGCAGGTGTTGGAACATTGGTACAATACGTCTGGTACAAGCTACCACGATGAAATTAGCCATGTTGAGATAACTATCATCATATCGAAGGTTAGTAAATAGGAGAGTCACGCTTAACCAGAAACTAAATGTCACTGACAGTAAGCCTGAAAAGATAATGGTAAATTTTGATATACCTAGGTGCATTTTTTAAGGGACAATTCCGCTGCATTCTCCCGAAACCAGTAAATCTCCTGTAAGTCAGGATGTACAATAGATACAACCATGAAAACACCGAAACACTGAAGTCCGATGCGTCCCAGAGACATGAATAATTGTCTTGGATCCTGCAACGAAATAAATCCGAAGATATCGTTAAAGGAGAAGAAAAAAACAATAGTTAATTACCGACAAGCTAAGTTCTTAGACGTAATTGGAAAACAATTTGTTTTTGTCATGCAACAAACTCTAAATAAATGAACCATTTCCTTACCTGTAATTAAGTAACCTTGTTGCAAAACAATTCTCTCATCATTAGTAAATACGTCGTTCCACACGCAAGCGTCCGCCATCTTTTATAATCCTATGAAAGTTCTTCTTAGTACTGATCTATCAGAAACGTGAAGGAGCAAGTGTGAAGCACTATACAACGAAGACGTATGGCAAGTCTCAATGCAATCCTGATGAGAACGAAACCTGAATCTCAAGTTGCATCTTGAGTCTTAGCCACAACACCAGTTGTTTCATGCTCTGCTTCACTCATTGTCTATCCAAGTACTCGGTGGAGCTATACATGAGCATATGTACTTACACTACAAATGACAACGTAGTAGTAATGTTAGAATTGTGAGTAGAAATAGACAGTCTATGTAACTTAAACTTTTATTATAAGCGTAGGGATACATTTCAAATGTTTACAAAATTGTTTTATAGCATCACGTAGGTACTACCGCTGGCCGTTTCTTGGGAGAACGTCAATTGAGAGACCTCCGATTGGGACCCAATGGACATGTATATGTTCAAGGGTATTTCCTCCTCTTGCTATGCTCTGTTATACCGCTTGGCTCGTTCTGGTTGCAGCAGGGCGTAATGTTTGCGCATACGTCCAAGAAGAGCAGCGCGGATCCTCTCATCTCCGGCAAGAAAACATAGAACTGGTACACTTGTTGCCGCCTGAAATTTATTTAAACCTTTTCAATTTAGCAAAAATGAAAAGAAGTAAAAATTTTAGTACCAAGTGCCTATCTAGATTTTATTGTGCATCATTCTAGGGATCACACTACTACTGGATAGGTACACTTGTCACTATTTGTTCATCAATCTTACCTCTGAAGAAATGGATGCAATCAAAACCAAGGCAGGTGGAACGTGTGGTCTGTAACCGTATATAAGTAACGGTAGCCATTGCCAACCAACCAAGATGGCTGCAGGGATCCATAATGCTAGGGTAACCACACAGATTGCGTGAAGACTCTGGAATTAATTATAAATACAATAAATAACATAACTAAATAAATAAATCATTCAAAATATTATATAACGAGTAGTACATAAACACCTGTGTTAGTCGTGTTTGTTCCTTCTGCTGTTCTCCTTTGTAGAATATCCTTTCCAATCGAACAGCCTTCCCCATATACCAAAATCTGGCGATAATACGAATGATTTGGTTATCAACCTCATTTAAATCGAGTTCACATTTTCATCAAAACATTCTTCCACTTACATAGCAATGACAGGTACTACACCACATATGATTATATAAGGTATGCTGTATCCTATGTGTTTAGCTCCCGAAGACGACGATGGCCAGAGGAAGGTGCAAGTGGTTCCAGTAGCATCACAAGAGTACTTTCCATATCCAAATAAAGGAGGAGTTGCAAATATTACAGAATTACACCAACTGACGCCCACTAATGACCAATAAAATCGTGCATACAGTGATTTCTCTGTAACATTAATAAATTTAAACGTGTGAATTGATTTCATTATCAATTTCATCACATAAAATATTTGTTTTAAATACATACCACGTCTGAAGAACTTTGCTAATAAATATCGCTCGAAAACTGCCACAAATAATGCAGTCATTTGAAAGACACCAAAGAATTGATTCAGAAATGCAAATAGCTGACAGCACGACGGACCAAAAAGCCATCTAAAACAACATTAGTTTCACTTTGATAATGCTACTGACAAATGTGTAGGTTAAATTAGAAATACTGAACTTAAATTATAATTTACCTTTTTGCTATCGCTGATGATCCAGCAAATGGAAATCCAACGAGATTTCGACCAAGGGACGCTGTGCACAAATTAAGTACCAGAATATGACTCCTATATACAAGCAGGTGACTGTGGATGAATGTGGCAAAAAGCCAACCGTTGAGCAGCACCCCGAACACACCTATTGAATTATGACCCACATTAACATAATTTAATGTAAATACACATACACTTCTCCAAAATTTATGGATCGCGACTTGTTTTATGTCCAGAATTACGATTCTTGGGGCAACTAATTTAATAACCAACCGAATATGAAAAGGCAAGCTCCCAGAAGCAGTTTGTAAGAACTATCGAAGTAATACCACGGACAGTCATCTTCAAGATCATCAAACAAGTTTTGCATCTCTGAGGAACAGGCACTTTCTGTGTTCACTGCGGGTCAGGCACCGTGGATAGAGTTCGCAGGGTGATGGTAATTTGTATTGGGCATTTAGATTACTTTTCATAAACACATAAACGTCCACGTAGTTCAAGTGGTTACAGAGACTGGTCAGGTTGTCGAACCACCTCGTAGGGACTTACTACAACAAAGGGAGTGGATTTAGTTACATTCGCTGACGCCACTTTGTGTGCGCCATCGAGGGCGTGAACGTGCCTATGTCCTGCTACCGTGAACATGCTAAAATACTTGTCGAAACATTGCTATAACTTTTATAGAGTTTGTTGACATTACATGTAAAGGTCTACAAAATGTTTTGAAATGATGAATCGAGACAAAAGAAATATTACTGACTAAAATGTAGGCACGAATGGTTATTATAATCATTTAATACGTCAGTTTTTAGTACCTCGCAAACGTTTACGATGAAAACTGTCGTTGAATAATGAAATATCTAAAGTAAACAATTCGCATATTGTGATAACGTGTTTTTGTTGGCACTGTAATTTATGCAGTCAATAAATAAGTGGGTAACAATATCAAATGATTTAACACAATCCTATCTTTTATCTTATTTACTTTTTGTAGTTTTCATCATTTTTTCTTTTAAAATAATTACAATTTGTTCATTACCTAACGGGAACGCCAACGCAGATGTTTTGTAAATATATTTAACCTCAACACTGAGCTCCTAATATATTTCATTTCCCACCGATTTAAAAATAGTGATCAACCAGACTTATATTTATACCATAGGTATTTGAGTTCTTCCCAGATGTCACGTCTTCGTCTTTCACACGTTTGTAGGACGAGCTCAGGTAACAGCTGAGTCGTGTGATACGAGAACGTCGAGCGAACGAAGCTTGTACGTAAATTACCTGATAATCTATACGTTATTGGCTTGGCAACGCCCGTGAAGAATACGTCAGGTCCGTATACGTACTCCACGCGGCCGGCACACTTATATCAGACTCAGTTAATTGCGGAGAAGATCGAGTACGTTTTTGGCGATGTTATACTTATATCCGATCATTGCCTAGTTGTTATCAAACTCGTTGATTTGTATATTCGCATTGAGCGCGCAGTGCAGTGCCGTCATCGGACGGGTCGCGGCAGGATGTTGTCGTTGGAGCAATTGTCACAAATGGTGAAGGAACACCTCGGACTATGTGACTACATTGACGGCACACAATATGCATGTAAATGGGCCATCAACGAGTCGCCCTTAAGTGGCCGTGGCCTCATCGCCACCGAAGACATAATGCCTGGAGAAGTGTTGTTCGTGGACCGGCCTCTCATCTATGGACCGCGAGCTAGTTCCAACGTGGAGCAAGGATGTACGGTGTGCGCTAAGCTAGACAGTGATTCATTTTACAAGTGTTCAAAGTGCTCATTATTGTTGTGCTCAGAACAGTGTCAGAATAATGATGTTCATTTAAATGATTGTTCGATAATTTCTCGTTGGAACCTCAAGAAACCAGTCGAGGATACCGATGGCAACGTACTGTCTCGCGCATTAACTCCAATAAGGGCCCTTATGTTAAACAATGATCAAAAAGTGTTCATGAGTTACATGCAAGCACACAATTCCCCACAACACGGACATGAAATTCGGAAGTTGAAGCAATACTATGAGATTCCCGAGGAGGAAGAAGAGCTGATGATGTCAGCTTGTTGTGCACTAGACACTAATGCGTTTCAAATAGCCACTCCGTACGGTAAAAAGGAAATGAGCATGCGCGGATTGTATCCTGTATCAGGATTGATGAATCACAATTGCGTACCAAACACGAGATACTACTTTAATAGTGACCTACAAATGACGGTTAAAGCTGTTAAACCTATACGAGCGGGAACTGAGATATTTTCATGTTACACTGGAATTTTGTGGGGAACGCCGGCTCGTCGAGTATACCTGTATAAAACAAAACACTTTCTATGTAAATGTGATCGTTGTTCTGATCCCACCGAACGAGGAACCCTCCTCGGAGCTCTGAAATGTTTTTCAAATCAGTGTCCTGGATACTTACTACCGATAGATCCTCTTAGAACATCGAGTGCTTGGCGGTGTTTGCAATGTGAAATGCGAGTGCCCAATGAAAACATTTGTGCCATTCAGGGGGCTCTCGGAAGTCTCATGGGGACATTGAACTTTGACAATGTGCGAGACTTAGAAAGTTTTTTAGTTGATAGAATAACAAAATATATCCCGAAAACGAATCAAATTGTGATCGATCTTCAGTGTCGTCTGATAGTGGCGTTAGGGGAAGCCGAAGGATATCGCTGGCACGGTAAGCAATATTTCGAAACTAAATCGTAGTTAATATAATTCATTTCGGATGATTTATCGACAAACGTTTTGGTTCACAAAAAAACCAAAGATCATTCATTTTCTGGTTAAGATCAATCCAAATAATCTGATAGATACTAAGATATAGTTTATCGTTATCTCGTGTATTTTGAAACATCGTTGTTGGCATTGAAATGATTACCTCCTAAACCACATTCAATAGAAATATGTTAGCAATATTTGTGATAGTTGGGTAGTGACGTCAGAGCAGAGCCCTCGATTGTTCTTTCAACCGTTTTGATAAAGGCTGGGAGCTCACCGGTACTTAGTTCTGCAGTAATTATATTCTAGTCAAGTACAGGCAACATTGCTCTCGCGACCATGCGTCATTTCCTATTGCACGTCAGACATTGTTCTATAAATGGAAGCTGTTCGCGCCTACCTGCCGTACCTGTAAAGCGGGCAACTAAAGTACCTATTACCTAAGAGTTTACGTCACTGAAGAGCGATGCATCTTTACTGGCACTCATAATATATTGTTTTTTATGTTAGTAATAATAGTTGCAAAGTCCCAAATTAGACGATGTAAAGAAGAGACAACATTAATTAGTTTGTCTGACCAATAAGGAAAATAAACCCTTGTTTTTAACCGACTTCATTTATAATGGTGAAGTGTAAGACCCGTGAGTCGTGGTGGCACTGCCATGCATGAGGGTGCGGGCTCGAATCCTACCAACGGAAAGTATCAATGTGAATTTTTCTGAGTTATATGTACTTTTTAAGATTATTTTGACAACATTGACAAACGGTGAACAAAAACATCGTGAGGAAACCTGGACTTATAATTTCTAATTATGAGTTAGAAATCGCTAACCCACAATGAGCAAGCGTGGTGATAAATGCTCAAACCTTCTCCATGTGAGAAGAAGCATTGCTCAGCAGTAGGCACTTATAGGCTGTTGATGATGAACGCACTCACATCATCGTTATTTCCTTTTTTTATTATAATAGTACATCAAACCATCTTCTACGTTATAAATTATTGTCTTCGGAAATATTTACTTAGTCAAATATCGTATGCACGGGAATCGAACCCATTGGGGCCACATCTTTTCGCAGCAGGTGCGCTCATCAAACGCGGTGACGACCCGACGTCATACGGACTGACTGATGGATATCTAAAAATAAATCTCCCCAATTTAATAGGTAGGTTTTAATAGTAGGAAGTAAATAATAGTAATACATTAATAGTAACAGTAAAAATAAACAAGTATATTAATATTCTACTAAACCCAATCTTGTTTGAGATTCTGTATAATGCGAAAACAGCTTAAAACCTTCTTGTAACTACAAGAACCTCTTGAACCCTAATATTTTTTACGTATATTATGAATATCACATCATATCCACTCGGAGAACAGAAACCAGCACTTATCTTTGAAGTTGCACAGTTAGCGCGGTACGGCAGTAAAGACTGCACTGGCTGGGCAACGGGCTGCCGCGCAACGTGTCGCGGGTTCAATTCCCGCACGGAACAACGCTTTGCGTGATCCACAGATTGTTGTTCCGGTACTGGGTATTGTGTATGTGAATGTATGTTTGTAGACGCACCCATGACACAGGAGAAAATCCTAGTGTGGGGCGACTTTTTTTTTAAATCGTTAAAGTTGAACTTTCATCACTTAGTAACTTATTTTACTTAATACTCATAACTACTCAACGATGTCGCTTAGGTACAACATACATATGTATTAGATATCTACTATCAACAGAAGCAATCTTAAATAAGGAAGCAAGGTTTAACCCGACAGTTCCCATGGCCATTTGCATAACAATAGAACCAAAGGATAACAAGGATCTAAGCAATTACGTGATAACAGCGACTAAAAGCGTCTTAGGAAACTATTAGACTAGATGTAGCTCTCCACTAAGTGCACTTGCACTAAGTACTATTCAAATATTTACCGTTCATCTTAATTTATTATAGACTAAGTTCTGAAATTAAATAGCTTGTAGATTCTATATTTATTAACGTCCGTGTGTAGACCGTTGGGCATTATGTCTGGTGGATCACCATTTCATAAACTTGATTAATTTCTTTGTTTTGTTATTTCCTGGTCGTAATTAATTAATTGAGAGTATGAACAGATATATTAGCTTAAAATTGAGATTCTGGACTGCCTCGTTGGCCGAGTGGTCGCAAGTTTGACTGTTGGGCAAGGGTTCTCTGGTTCGATTCCCGAGTCAAGCAACATAGCGTAGTTACAAATTTTCACCCAAAATCTGACTGTTACAGTGTCCTGATACTAAACCCAATGAAAACACCTATTATCTTGCAACCTATGTACATACATAGTAATCAATAGGGGTACAGGAAATCTGATTAATAAGTATCGTATGTCAGTCTGAATACAAAGCGGCTGCCACTGACTATGGCTAATAATGTAAACATCCTGGTGAATATCTCACTATTGACGTAGAACAGTGTGCAGTACAATTATAGCGCTTATATTTATAGATTTTGGAGCATCAACTCACTTAAATGTAGGTAAACTGGAAATGTTGTAATAGTTTGCGAAAAATGAAATTACCTCGTTAGTTGAAAATCAGCAGGACGCTAAAGTTTCAATTACATATTCAAAAACTTGCATTACTTAATAAAGTATATACAGTG